GCCAAGAATAACTTCGTGATTGGACATCATTTGTAATCATGCTGTTCAATTACAGTAACTACAATTACAAGCTGTCCAATGGAGTGTCAATGACCCTCATTTGACCGCCTGCGCCCTTCAACAACACCATCTTATCATAGTGAATGACATCAATGCATCTGTAACCGTTAGGGAAGTGTGGAACTGAGTTCAGATCACCAGCGGAGGCCTCCGTTACACGTGCATGAAAGTGTAGGTCGATCACAGACTGTCTGTGCAGGTCTATGTATTCCAACGAAACTCGGGTACAACCAGTGTCAATATTCGGAGCCCGGTTCATGAATGACAATAGCTTGTAATATCCACATGCAAATATAATGAATGCGAAGTTCAGCAAAAATCTTCGGCAGGTTGTTGTTGTTTAATCGCAAAGAAAATTCACTCAAAGCTGATCATATATCATTTCATTAATAATATGTTGTCAACTGCGCTCCCGATCTATATGTCTTGGTGCGCTGACACCTTGTTGGGTAATTCTTGTGAAATGATGGAGATAATGTACCCTCAAAACTCATAAACTCGTGTAGTTGTTCTTGAGATTGTGTAAATCTAATGTTGTACAATTTGGGAAAAATATTTAATATTCTATAGTATTTAAAGCGCCAAGGGGCATTGTGCAGGTCACACAGCCTGTTTGTTGTAAATTGTTATTGCAAGACATGTTTTTTTTTTGCGCCAGATTAACAGGCTGCTTAAACTGAATTTTTCGTTCTATTTAGAATACACACACATGCTCAGAAATAATACTGCACATTTCTCACATGTGTAACATAATCAAGCTTGGTGCAGGGCTTAGGAACCGGTTTGATACATTCTATATAGGGGCGACCAAACTCCTCCACGGTTTGCTTCTGGTGATAGTTGTTAGTCGTTTGTGGAAGAGGTGGACATTTTTTGTTGCTGTTTAATCGTAGCAACATAACTACTTTGCGTGCACAAAGTAATGAAATTAATCGATTGAAACCCTCCAAAAATAATGGCATGCCTTATCGTCCATTCATATACCTTGTGGTTGTCCATGATATTGACGTAACTGTATGAGCAAGAGTATCGATGTTTCGCCTTGGAAGACTTTCAATAAATAAGCATTGGTCAATATCGGTGAGCAATTCAAGCAGAACATTTGTTTTTGAATGTAATGCATCCACAAGGAAGAAATAGAATGGGCTGGATCGAGAGTGTACACACTCATGGCAATATAGCGGAATGTTTATAACACATCCTCCAACAGCAGAAAATACGTACAAAGGTACAGATCGTAATACTTACCAAGACTGACAAGTAAATGCGGACGATGCATTGTCTGCGTGCGCGTAGTCGTTGGCGGCAATAGCATTGCGATCGGTGGAAAATGGGTATCAACAAACTTGTCCCAGTCTCTTGTACTAGCATGGGCTAGATTCCTTTTCGAGACGGCAAGACAAACATTTTATTCTCAACACCACCGCCGTTTTGACGAGTGAGCGTAAGACGATCATTGCTATTCACTGAAAGGTTGCTCGTTAGTTTTTCAAGAATGGAATTTATAAATTGCAACAAATCGATGGATTTCAGCTGGTCGAACCGAAAGTTCATGCATTTGACGCTGTTGTTACTGCTTGTAAAATCAATAGCGGTCATACCCACGCAGATTATGAAGTACTACGAGAATTAGTGTTTTGTTTAGGTTAAATTTTCAACTGTAGATTGTATGTGCTATACGCAGCTCCCCTGTACGCGCTAGTGATGTGACAGTGATAGTGAACTTTGGTATCAATCCCTTCTGGAGCTATCACAAATCCAACAATATCTTCACATGGAAAACACACGTGTCATAGTTGGGTAATCATCAAGTCTGTTGGCAAGGACAGCTGTTATCCAATAGATTCCGTTTTAAATTCGTGCGATTTAATCAGCACTCCATCTGAATCCTTGAATTCTTGCACGGTACAACATTGGTCATTGGTGACTCAGCTGCTTCCTCGTAATTGGCTTTAGTGTAGCAAACACGCATTGGGCTTGCACATCAACTTATTTGTTTTTTATTACTGAACATTAGCAGTGGTGTCAGTAAGCGGAAGATTCAAGCATGCAAAGTCGGCGTAGGTGATATACCGAACTTATGTCTTACGCTGAATTGCGCTGAATTTTAGAATGGTCTTCCCGGATTCTGGCTTAAATGTGCGCTGCCGCTTTGCATTATTCCACCACAGTAAACAACATACTCGTCAAATAGATTAGTAAATAATTTTAGGCAAAGTTTGACTGGATATTTTTACAGTGATGCTTGCTGTGTCAGTTAATTAATCATAATAATACCGCGACTCTGAAACTTTCATGTCGCTCAGTAACAATATATCAATTTGGATCTGCCCACGTGAATTTTTGTCTCGCATATAGGGTGAATATTCAGGCATGTAAAAACATTTTTCCAAGCGTACATGTTAATAGCGATAATTGGGTTGAAATCTACAAAATGTTTGAGTATGGGTTTAGTAACATACATCGGAAATTCTATATCACTAAAATTGAATTCATTCAGATAAAACCTTCGTCAAACTAATCGTTGATAGCATCGGGTTCTTTACGATTCAAATGGACCATCATAATCCAGGGTTTGAGATTTTTACCACATTCTGGTAAAAGGACATACAATGAAATTTGTATAGTGATATATATATATATATATATATATATATATATATATATATATATATATATATATATATATATATATATATATAAAGAAAATCATCTGCAAAACTTCTGAGGCGTGTATACGTTCGGTACAATAGCATTTTATTCTTTATAATAACCGTGAAGAACATGTCATAAAACCGCGACAAACATGTAACTGAAACGTGCAGTTGGGATCATTGATGAATATATTCGACTGCTTCAGTGGAGATAGTAGGTATGATACGTCTACGAGTTTTTTATTCTCGAGTTTTCGTTTAGTTTCCGCTCACTTAGCTCGTGGATATTTTTCATATTTCATTGTGCTGCTGTTGCATACAGCTTTATCACCGTCATAAAGTGTTCGACCACGAGTCAAAATTATACAAGTATACTAGCTTTTGTGCCTCTTGGTAGTTGCATACTACACTCACGCGGATTATTTCAGTATTTGCACTGTTAACATTGCCATCGCAACCGGCCGTAGTGAGCCCGGGGTAAAGTTGTTGCCCAAATGACCGTGGATCATTTTTTGAAAGTTCAAACATTCAAGTAGGACAGATTTATGCATACAGCTTTGTATTTTTATCCCACGCTCTCTCACTAGTTGTCTCGACTAACTGACGGTAGGCTTGCTGATATATAAGGTGAAATCATTCTCAAACTGTATATTACGTCAATATATTTTTGTAGGTACTTTTTACTTCACTAGGCTCATAAACCACACTGCTTAAATCTTGGTTATTATTTCATTTGTTTGTAGATATTACTCAAATGATTCTACAATTAATGATTCAATATTTGTATCGGCGAATTTTCGCAGGCGCGCACGATAATACTCTCGAACAGATATGATACCACATTTAAGGTGTAGAAAGTTTAGTCATCAAATTAATTTTCAATTGCTTCAAACTGTGTTCCTGTTTGTTATTTCCTGATTTTATATATTTCATTATGGAAGAAACACTTCATAATACAAAAGACAGTACTCAAATCGACGACCATAAATTGTACAATACATTTTCCACCAAGAAGGTGATTTTAATATCACGTCATGCTCTGCTAAATAAAAAGACGCAAATTTCTGATCCTGACCAAATAGATAAGGTCTCAACTCAGATAAAATTTTGCTTAAACTGAAATCGGAATTTATTCTCCGTTGTATAATTGTACGTCAACTCGAACACCACACTTTTGTGATTATATATATATATATATATATATATATATATATATATATATATATATATATATATATATATATATATATATATATATATATATATATATATATATATATATATATATATATATATATAATTTTTAATATAATATTTTCTCAAGCTCTGATACAATCAATATGAAACATATATGTGCAACGAAACAAGTGTTGTTTTATAGTGGCAATGAGCAATCATACTCCTGTAGACGTATTTTGGTCGCACAGAAAAGGAATTTTGACATAGACAGCATAATCATAATCAATTGTAACATACTCATACTAGTCTCACTGCCAGTAGGTTTTGTTTCTCAAAAACGTTTACCTGACTAAAGGGCGAAGTAATCGTACTTCCCCAAAATTAATAATTGTATATTTGTAAAACATGTAGCTTTGACTATATAGTTTTATGCTTGCGCTAAAAATTTTGTTACTGCCTAAGTTTAATTTAGGTATACTGCCATACACTCTCGTTTGACGGACAGGTAAAAATTGGTAAAGTCCGAAGGTATATAAGACTTTGACCTAGCTCAGCTATCAAAATCTAAAGTGCCTATTGTCATACTACTGGTATCCTGTATTTCGACACCATTGTTATATATAAAAGTCACGATTATGAAGATCAGGTGAAAAGTTTTAGCAGATCCCACAATAAATTGCCTATGGAATTTGAGCAGGTATTGCAAGAACTGGCATATGGACGATACAACGTAGAGCTTTACTTTAAACTTTTAAGTTTTATGCCAGCTAGACTTGATTGGCTCAGATGGGAAACTCCAGCTGAAAAGCTAGTTTTATGATTACCAGCCTTGTTCAATTAAGCTTCAAGAAAGAAAGAAGTGACATTGTATCCACTCCACTTAGAGTATTTTTTTTTTAAAATATCTATCTCGACTCATTTTTACGACTACATTTATCATGTATATCATAGTACTTGCTTGCATAAACAGTAAAAATGCACGAGACATGATAAAGCACTAATTACAGCTTGGATCCGTTCATGTATTTGACGCTAACTGATACTATATTTTTATATAAACAAGCAATACGTTTTGGATCGTTCAAACGGTTTTATCACAAGTTGTAAAACCAATTGGTGGCCTAAGTGGTCAGAACGTCCGCTTCAGATGCGGGAGGGCGCGGGTTAGAACCCTGGCCGAGTCATATCAAAGACATAAAAATGGCACCAACAGCTACATCGCTAGGTGCTCAGCATTAAGAGGTTAGTAACTGGTCGGCCTGATGTCAGGATAATGTGACTGGATGGAATATGATGTTACATGTCTGCGGCATTATGCCCCAGTGCTAGACATCACTACAAACTGCCACACCGCAGACATCATCGCGATATCACTGAAAATTGTTAAAGCTACTTTAAAAATCCAAATCACATACACACATCACCAGTCGTATACACTGTTGAATTCACGATGACCAAAGCAAGCTAAAATATTTCAAGAATTGTAATGTGAATTACAGGAGGAAGAAATATTATGATTCCAACATTATATTTATATGGCTCTGTCCCTTGCAAGAATACAGCTAGTGAATTGGTATTACCAAATAAACTAGAATACGCAGGCACATTCCTTGGAAAATTCCCCCATTTTTAAAATAACTTCCGTCTACCCCATGCAACAAATTCATGAAACTGACATTATGATAGCTATTGTTTTATTCGCTATGAATTCTTTTTTGTTTTCAGTTTCCATAGACGAATGAATGAATGAATGAATGAATGAATGAATGAATGAATGAATGAATGAATGAATGAATGAATGAATGAATGAATGAATATGATAATTGCTAAATATGTTAAATGATATGAGAAAAAAAGAACAATTACTTGCATAAATGTTTTATAGATGTGGAAATAAATGAACAATTGATATTGAAAACAAAATAGACTGTGAAACTGAATTAATAAACGAAATTTTGCTATCCTCTTCTCCGAAACTATGTGATCTCCACCGAAGACTTATCACCGTCGATTTCCCCATGACTGAAAACAGCAATGGAATATGTTCATATTTCTTAAGGAAGAATTAGGTTAAGTATAAACTGTCGTCTGAAGTTTCTTATGGCGAGTCTAAGTAACTGTGTCCGGTAATAACCCTTGTTTGTTTCGTCGATGCCTGATTATATTTTATTAATATTATTGTCAGAAAACTATTATAAGTAGCAGGAGAAGCGATCTTCATAAACAATCATCGTGGGTAATAGTTACAATAGAAAGGTTGCGACCTGAAGTTTCCTCAGCCGCTGACTCACATTAGAACGAAGGACTGTTTACTCTTATGAACAGTGTATGATACTCTAGGTAAATGGCAGCTGTTAGATTTCTTTGCAAAGATATTATGCGTATAAATACGACAATGCACGTTTACTTTTTATTGGGCATATCCATGCTCATGCCGTAAGAAAATTACTATAGTGACTGTTAGACGGGGAAGTTCGAGAGATGAGGGGTAATGCAAGAATGTCTGCAGAAAGGAGTTGCAGTATTGTCGTCTGTTGAGAGTTAATTTCTAGTACATATTACATATTATGTACACATGACTATTATGGACGCATAAATTACCGACTTAAACGTGGCTATTAAGGCCTTACAAATTACCGACCTCAGAATGGCTATCAAGACCTTACAACTTACCGACCTAAACATGGCTATTAAGGCCTTATGAATTACCGACCTAAACATGACGATTAAGGCATTATGAATTTCCGACCTAAACATGACGATTAAGGCCTTATGAATTACCGACATTAATATGGCTATTAAGGCCTTATGAATTACCAACATAAACATGGCTATCAAAGCCTTATGAATTACCGATCTAAACATAGCTATTAAGGCCTAATGACTTACCGACCTAAACGTGGCTATTAGGGCCTTATGAATTACTAATCTTATCAAGACTTAAAATTACCGACCTAAACGTGAATATTAACGACTTATAATTACTTACCTAATATAAGGGCAACAAGTAAATATTTTAGAAACTTGTTATTTGTTATTTGTTAAATCTTTTAAAAAACAATGACAGTCGCTTTAAAATTGTCTAAATTTTAAAATTGAAATGAAATATGGGACAAAAGGATTATGTTCCTTGTATCTTTTGTATGCTTGTTTACTTGCTGGCTTACTTTTTCTTCGTTTTCATTCCTTCCAAGCATGACAGTAACAAGATACCGTGCAGATCTGTTTTTGTTACGCAAAAATAATTATCCTAAAAAAACTAATACGCGCTTTTACGATGTCTTTAATGATGCAAAATATCCGAATATAAATGCCCACACAATCAGATGTAAGATTGATAACCTGGGCTTCTGGAATGCTCGATTCATTGACGTATGTTAGCATCAAATACAGCTGTTACTATGCGTGTCAGTAATATAGCAGCCTTGATAAAAGAGAAATGTAGAACGATATATTACATTCACTATATACTTATTACAAGTTGAGCACGATGGCGTCTGGCATTTCGTCATTTGACGCAATATGGCTTAATTTATAAACTTGACTGTACCGTATAATTTCTAATATAAATCAGATAAAGCTATAAACTTCATAATGCACCAATAAATCTGATCTATAGAGCTTCCTAGGAGTAATCCAAAGAAACGACAATGGCCTTCGTCTCCCAAAACACTATGGGACAGCTGATCTGGGTTAATGATGTCTGTAAAGCGATTAGACTTATAAGTGTTGAACGCTAACTTTTGAGTAGAAAAAAACTCTGTACTCTATTTCCTGGAGAGTTAATGGCTCTAAAATTGTTATTGATGTGCAAACCTTTTTTCTTACATAGAAACGCAAAAATTCTTTAATTTCGCTTGATTTATGTGGATTATTAGCAGTCAACAATTCAACTGCCTGCCATTTTTTTTTTATCGTATGTTACTCAAAGGTATATCGTGAATTTTGACATGAATTTCTGAAGCGATCTTCGAGTCGGAGAATTTTTGTTGGAACAAATGTTTAGCATGGGATCCAGCTGATAAGCGAAGGATGTGTTCAACAAGAAATCACACTTTTCTGGTTTGGTAGCTTGCAAGTCTTCCGTCGATGGCTTAGAATATTACAGAGCTGAATTCTGCTTTAGTTCTTAATTTTCCCAACCTCTATATGCTTTTTGTTACCAATGTGCTTTTCTACCACCATGCACGATGCTAAAATTTTTGGCACACTGTGTGCAAAAAGCATGATGTATATCGGTGTTTGATGGCTGAATGCAGTGCCAATTTTTTGGTATATTCCAAACTAAACTCCACTTTTTGTGCATTGCATTTCTTTTTTCTTGGTAGTAAAGATATTTTCAATATCGATGCCGAACGGTAATTTATATCTTTTGGCAGCGCATGCGCAAAGCAAAATTCCGGTTAGGTCCAATTTTTTTTTTCTTTCAAAAGCATTAGTAAAACTACTCATACACATATAGACTAAAATACTCTAAAATGCTTGCTACCGGGCCAACTGATCTCTCGGTTATAGTTGTACTAATATCGCGACCAGCAATCCGGACCGTTTCAGCAACTGCCGATATCGCGACTAGCCTTTAACACTTAAAATCGGTTATTTTATTAAATATTTAAATTAACTGAGAATTGGGGAAGTTTTAATATGCGGCTTGAATCCGTGAATCGCTGAAAAAAGTGTGAAATTCACGCCAAAATCGTGAGGGTTGACAGGTATGCTAATCACGCTTGCAAAAAAGAAGTCATACTTCAAAGCACAACCTAAATTCAAAACTTGCAAAACGAATCTTGACGAGCCTACGTTAGTGGGAAGCGGTATATATTAGCCTTCTGGCGTTGTCGTCGTCGTCGTCATCAGTTAATGTTTTGGTTAAAATGATTCATAAGTAGTGAGTGTGGGGCGACATTGTTAAATTTGTTCGTTTGCACTATGGAGACAAGTAGAATTTAACATGGGGAATTTTAACATGGGTGGGCCTATGGAGCTACAAGGGGAGACAAGGGATTGGACCTGTCTAGCGACAGAGTTAGGGACATAGAGACATAGACATATGACACAAACATAAATTTATGAACATAAATCCATCACACAAAATATCGACTAAAATTGTTTTTAGGCAATAGAGAACATGTATCTTTTCGAGGCAATGGAGTGGCCGTTGACTTTTTTGCTAACACCATTCCAAAGGGCTGTATGAGTCATCTGGGTGATAGCCATGATGATCTGATATACATGAGATATTCCGGATTGAACATCATCGACGATACGAGGGCAGATGATTCTACGTTAGTCCACATCTTGTGACGAGAACAGGTGAAGTGAATGAGGTGAACCGCTGTTATTTATAGTGGAAGAGGGGATCGAAACGGATTTTGTTCTTTCATCAATCCTAACACACATTACAAAATTTAGCTAGGGTGCAGAGTCTGTCTTTCAATCTGAAGAGAGCTACCTATGACGTGACATTCCCAATATAGGTGCGCTTACGTCTGTGCATAGTTAATCAATGCAACAAAGTAAGAACATGACGAAAACTATGAAGACAACGAATTGGGGTGCACCGGTTTTTGTGACGAGGAATGATGACATAGCAGGGGCTACCAAAGCAAACACAGTTCTACTTCCAGAAGAGAACGATTTTAATTGGGATTTAGTTGATTTTCTCACAATAATTTGTTCCGGTACCAGCGCTTTTGCCACCTTCTCCTTCTTTAACGAGACAGAAAGAAGAATTGGAGAAATGTTTTCAGCAGCAGAAAGAAGCAATACAGGCCTTTTTCATTCACAGCAAAAACGAGAAGAAGACGAGACAAGAATAAGAAAACGACAGGAAGAAGAAGAAGCAGAGAAGAAACATGGTCTAGGAGTGAAGGAGAACAATAAAAGTTAAACAGTAACGGTACTCATCGACATCAGCAGGCCCAGAAGTAGGTCTTGATTGTGACAAAGGCACAAGGCAGTTAAAGCTCCTTACTTACCGTTCCTGAGTTTTTCTTTTATATTTTAAAAAAAAACACCCAACGGTCCTTTTCAGGGCCACCTATCTCTCTCGAAATGAGACTACTCCATGTTTGCCAAATTCAATTAAAACTCCAGATCATTCTTTTCTCATAATGGAATTGCGTGAGTCCAAGAGTGTAGGTCCTTATTATAAAAGTCAAAACCAAGAGACACATTCGTTTTA